AGAAAAATTCGCACATGAAGAGAACATAAGTTTGCATAAAAGTACTCTTGTTACAAGTGTATTTTTCACGCAGACGAAATTTGAAGGGAAAAAGTTTTTAAGAAAATGAATTTTTGTGATGTGACCCAATGAATACTCCAATAGTTGCGGCAAAAAAAAGGAAGTGAAAATAAATATTGTGCAACGGACGAAATTATGCAGAGAAATTGACTGCTTGTCACATTTCTTACTTATGTATTGCGCATAATTGAACTGGAATAGAAAAGAGACAACAGAATCTTTTCTGGACATGAAGAAATTTCGAGTCAGTGAATCTCTCATTCAAATACATTTCGTTAACCTTCCAAAAAAGAGAAGAGTCTCAATTTATCCGCGAAACAAACAAGAAAAAAAGCAATCGAGAGATCTCGGAAAAGCAAAAGGGAATTTCTATCCAGCGGAAAGAGCTGAATACGCCAGAAGCAAATATACTGCAATTGCTCGATTCTCATTTTCAGCGGCTTGGCTACAAGTTTTGTTGAATAATTTAAGTTTCAGAAAAGGCAAATCTGTTCAGAAATTTCAGAATAACTCATTAGTAAGGGTGTGTCAGAAGAGCTGGTAATATCTTCATTAAAAAGAAGAAATGAATGATGGCATAAAACATGTCGTAAGGGGATTTGGAAATGAAGTTCCAGATTTCTGGTTTCTCATTTTCTGGATATATACACAACTGGCATGATTTTAAACGAAGTAACCAGGTAGAGAGTGCATGTGAGCTGCTTCAAGCATGCTTTTGTTAAGTATGGAATTAGATTAGCCAGTAGCTGAATAAAGTTGATCGAACAACGGTTTAGCACCACCTTTCTCACCCCTACGTTGTTAAGGTTACTGAAAATTTGAAACTTAAACCTCATATGTTTTAGAATATGATTAATAATGCTAATAGTAATGCTAACAAAACCTGTTACAATTTCCACTTTTACAAGCTTTAAAAGAGCAAACAAACGAGATTATTTTTAGGACCGAATTGATATGCCAAATAACAACAAAAAAAATGTTCGTTTTATTAAAAAATTATCAAATTTTTAGCTTTTTCTCTCTGAATTTACAGTTTACATTTTGGGAAGATTGATTTCTTTTGAAAACAATGGCCACAATATCATTTGGTGTGGATGAAAAGCGTGTAAGTGGGACCTATAAAATGCTTCAATCGATATTCTGAATAATGGGATGGCCACTGGTACCAGTAAATAATAATTTACACAGTTTTCCTTAGTGGAAAGAGTGATATTTATCAGACTGAAGAGAGAGAATATCACAAGTAAAACTTGTGTGAAAGTTAAGGAGACAAGCAATAAGTTTGGCCCGGTATTAACTGGCAAAAAACACCCAACGAACAAACTCTACCTTCTGGAAATACTAAAAACCCTTCAACCCTCTTCGAAATAGGTACAGGAGCTTCCGGGAAAGAGAGAAAAAAAGAGTTGGTCAGTTAGGCTTTCTTTACGGATAAAAATAGTGATGGAAATGGTAGATGGCTTTAGTGCTGGTTGGTATATATGGCGACGAAATGAGGTGAACTTGAAGTCGGACTAAAGTAAAAAGTTTAAATGAAGCAATCCATCCTTTCTTCTACTTCTAATGAAGCAATCCATCATTTCTTCTCCCATTGAAGCAATCCATCCTTCTACTTCATCACGCTCTTCGCTCACTTCCCCACATTCCCGCCCACTTGTAAATAATCTAGGGGATAGCAATCACATTAGACCAGCCACAAATGAGATCAAAGACAAGTCCAAAAATCATTTCAAGGAATCCATTTTATTGTGGCACCAAACCTAGCGGATCTAATGTAAGCAGGTTCAGGGACATTTTGACGGAAGGGTTTTTTTATCGCCAAGGTTTTTGTCGTGTTCCCCTTGGTACTGTCCGGGATCTTCGGGAGAATCAGTTGGTTTCGCAGCGCTCGCACTGACCTTCTTTTCTTTTTTATAAGGATTGTACATCAGTTAAGCTGTCCATTCGTGAGATCTAACAGTTCATTTTTAAAATGTGCAGATGCATTTCAGCTGACGTAAATGACGTATATGTTGTTTGCGTTTGTAACCAATTACTGACAAGTTTCTCTCCCTTATCAAACAAAACAGCAAATGAAGTGAAACGGTGCTATTAGTTGTAATTAACAAATTTCAGTTTGCATCTGTGCAAATCGATAAAGATTTGCTCGATGGTGTTCGAAATCGCGATCTTCCACAACTTCCATCGTGTCGCTTATCATCCGGACACTTTCTTCCATTTGTTCTCGATTCCATGCTATTTCCAGTGTTATTAGTCTACCTGCATTATTTTATCCCTCACATTTTGGATCTTAGCAAAATGTATGTATAAAAGCTAAAAACTACAATTAGAAGACAAACAATAGCTTAATCAGAATAATTTAATAGGGAGAGTTGGCCTTAATACTATCCGGATAACCGCTTGTCAGTTCCTTGCCGAAGTTGGATTTTCTGAAGCAGTCTGAATAACGAGAAATTTGAACGTTTTTGAAAGTCTCGAAGGATTATGCTTTTATTTGATACTAATTTGTTGAACTCATTACCAAAATAATTTTCTTATTTGGTGGTATGCTTATTTAGCACGTTTATGGCCATCATTTATTTGATAGTGATTGAAGTAAAAGACGGAGCGACAGCATCAACTTACTGACCTGATAATTCGGCATACTTCTTGGATATGAACGAAGGTGAAAGCTCCCTTTTTCGGATTATTATATCTCTAGTTGTGATAAGCTCTGCACCTCGCGACAATATCTCTCTCAAAAACTTCAATATGCGACCATAAAATGAAACTAAAGCTTCGTTATCTTGTTCCACACATAAGATGAGCATTTTCTGTAATACCGAAAAAATTTCAGAAACCTTGAAAATTTTTAGAAAATTTGTAAAATCTCTTGAAAACTAAAAAATTCATTCTTGATATACGCTAACACAATCATTTTCTCCTAGACATCTTATTGCAGTCAATTTGTTTGCAATTTGTTTGACCTTGCCAATGGCTTTGCTTGCAACAGTATACAAGGGAAGAACTGATAGTTCAGGGATGAATTTAACGTCCTCGACATTATTAACCATGTCCATTTTCTTAATTTTGTTATATTCCTGCAATAAATAAGAATCTGGCATGCTTTACTAATAAAGGAACATTTACTGGAGAGAGACAAAGTGACAAATTAGTTATACTGAAAGTAAGAACTATCAATGTGGCTCAGTACAAGGAACTGGTCAAAAACTTTTTTCCGAAAATTTGTGAACATATGGAAAGTGATGCTGATGAGTAAACAGGAAGCTCCGGTTAGGAATCGGATTCATATTCCCTTAACGTTATGAAACTAAAACATGCAATAAACATTCTCCACTTGCTTTGGAATGATGGACTGTTTTCAAAGGGAAGCAAGGGAGTGACTAATTGAACAATCCCGTAGTTCCAAGGGTTTTATGGGTGAGTAGAACGAATGACAACTGTTACATCGGAAATGTATTTTTGTGATATACAAAGAAATAGAATTAGTTTTAATATATCAGCCGAGAACTTACTGTAATGCAAATTTCGAAATTAGGAACATCTTCGGGTGTAAAATCGTGCACACTATTCCAGTTGTTAGTGAACGGGCTTAGTGATGTCTTCGTTATATGCTCTGAAAGTATGGTCCGTTTATGAGGTATCTGTTAGAATTCAAACTGGTTCCACTTGCGAATGCTTATTACGATTACTGTCAAAGGATTATAACTTACCTGATCTGGGAAATTGGGAGAATTCAATTTCTATACTACGCTGAAAAAAAGTGCTTCAAAAACATGGGAAATGAAAAGTAAACCTTCGAGTTTGTTATAAGAAAGAGCAAGTGATCGAAATCGCATCAATTTACTTGATTCGATAATTGGTTTCGTTGTACAGAATAAGAATACATCAATATTAATGCAATCTCGACTTCGGAATTGTTGACAAATGGTAAACAATGTGGTATTCTTGCAGTCCCGAATAAACACACTAAACTTTTGCACTTGGAATATGCCGTGAAGTATTATAGAGGCAAATAGGTTTCATATTTGTCCGTGTGATGAAACATACGGGCTTACGTGATAAGTGTTAATATGATAAACTTGCACCCTCACGTTTAAGACGTTTAAGACGCTTTTATTTCCAACATATATTGAGCAAGATATGCATTCTTTTTAATACATGCAATCACCCGATCGGAAATATTTCATAAATTTTCAAAAGAAATAAATTTTTTGTCACACTTGAGGGAATAAAAGGTATTATGCGAGAAAACAGACAAAATTTTACTTAACCTTCCTTTGCAAGGGCCAGTAACAATGAGGCACCCTTCGCAATCATCAACATTCACTGTGGCCAAGTGATCAAGTAACAGTATGCAACATTCCTGAAATGATTCCCTGTTATCCAACTCATTTAACTTTTCTGTTTCTTTTAAGACTTCGTTTTGTTAATAAGTTTCAACATGTAAAAACTAACTTTGCATTTCTCGACAGTGAATTGCTCGCCGGTAATATGGCCATCTGATTTAATAGCAATCTCACCACAAAGATTGACGAAACGATATTCCGCCGGACTGGGTTTTTCTTTATCCCTAATTTTTTTCATTTTGATGGGATAATACTTGAATTCTACATTTTCAAAATGTATTAATTCCTTAAAAGAAAAAAAGAAAATTTTCCGAAAAATTTATATTTGCATATAAAGAGAAACAATCCTTTAGCAGTACAATGTCGGCTAGCAGATGCTAATTCAACTAATTTCGTATCCTAATACATCAGAAATGTGGATTACAAAGCATTGAAGGGCCTACCTATGTAAGAGATCAAATTTTTGGCAAAGAAATTACAGTATATGCAAGAATTATATAAGATATTGTAGATGAAAGGCTACGCTGTTTAGTTTACACATTTTTAAAGGAATGCTGAAGATGGAATTCTTCAACGCTTGTAAAATGAAAATAAATAAAAAATTATTTAGGACTAATGAAGGTTTTTTCGTTAAGCACTGAAAAGATTTTTTTTCTCCAAAAGAAATCGTCGAATAAGGTATGAGATGGAGGCCTGAATCTGGTCTATCAGGGTATGAGATGGAAGCCTGAATCTGGTCTATCAGAATATGGGATGGAGGCCTGAATCTGGTCTATCAGAATATGGGATGGAGGCCTGAATCTGGTCTATCAATGAACTATAGGATTTTCTGCTTGTGTTTTAAAATATTTTTGATATTGAATGATAAAAAATAAAGAAATGTATTATAAGTGGTACTAAATAATTATTAATGTTAGAGACTTTGACTTGCAAATTGAAATTAATTTGCTCGAACTAAGCAAAGTGACCAATCATTCAATGAGCAAATCAGAATATATGAAAATGAAAAAAAAAATTGCTCCCAACTCCTGCACTTTTCCAACAGACGACAAATGGGGAAATTTCTTTACAAACATAACATCTCAACTCTTCAATACATTTCACTTTCTGAATTTATTTGGAATTGAATAAAATAAGAATTAAAGTGTATAAATGTGGTGTGTTAAATATACTGAACAAGATTTCTTTAAATTTCAAAAATTCGATGTTCGACGAAAAAAGATGCAATCGATACATTGAAATATGCATTAAAATTATTGAGACTCAAGTTAGAATGCTTGTGATATCACATTTGTGAACAATACATCAAGCATAATCATGTTATATCGTGATAACCAACTTGCTATCTCGATCGGTTTCTTTTGTTTATCATGACTATTACTTTGTAAATAATCTTTCTTTTTTTAATTAAGTTTTGAATCAAATTGCCACAAATTCTAAATGATGTCGGGAAAACTTCGGAAATCACAATGCAAATTTTCTGCTGGATTATGGAAATTAAAGCTACGTTCAAACAAAATTTCCATAATATCCAACAAACGGGGTGACGAAATCTTGTAAGTAAAATTAAAGCACTGAAGAGGATATAAGCTAACAATGGACAGGGTAAAACAAAAACGTCGCAGTACCTACACAATGGACAGTGCCAAAAGGTAGCCATACCTCCATGATAGCCCCGATGGAGCTTACAAA